CTTTTTTTTTTTTTTTTTTTTTTTTTTTGGATGTTAACACTCAGCTAGGCAGATGGGATATGAGATGCTAGAAAAAATAATGCAAATAAATAGCTAATTTTTCAACAATATTTTTCATTAAACTATTGCCAATCCACTTGGGTATAAAGTGAGTTGAAGAGAATAATCACAAAAAGAACTCAAAAAAGGAGGATATTTATCATAATTTTTAAAACTTGTAGCTTCTATTTTCTATGTCACATTGAGCCTTTAGTCTTTTGCTTCATGATTCCTGCCATATGAGAGAGTTGACGGCTTCTTTCGGATGGGGATAACTTTGAAGGATCATGTCCAAGTTCTTGGTTTTCCCCTGGGTTTAAGATTGTTTGTGCTTCTTGAGGTTTTACCTCACACAGTCCTGAAAAGCAGAGAGGGTCATGATAAATGAGGGTAATGAAAATGACAAGAACTCAGAGATTTGGCATGAGTTATGTCATCATATGTGCAGAGTTATGTGTCCTTTTAATTTCTTAATTACAAAACAATATTCCTAACAAAATAATCCTCAAAACGTTCTATGGCTGTTGTCTGAGACCAAAATGTTTTGCTCTAGGATCTTTTTCTTACTTAAATTCTTTGATGTTGTTTTGTTCATTTTGTCGTTGATAGAGTTTTTAATAAAAGATTGTATTCCCTATTAAATATTCAAGTAGTTTTCCTTTAATAGAAACATGTTGTTACTGAAATGGTGAACAAGCAAAAATTGTCATGTGCATGGGCCTCAGTAATATGTCTTGAATGTATAAGGATACCAGCTCCCATTCCCCCTCCTTTTAACCCAGCCCAACACACAGGAAGTCCATGACTTGTCACCTCACTGCCAAAGCCCTGAGCTTGCACACAAATGTGCACTCTAATTCAAACCCATCCCTCATGAACCCTCCACCTGCTTCAGCTTCCAAGGGAACAGATTCAAATATACCTTTATGTTCGGGGAGCAGATGTTTTCCTGGAACAGGGCCCTTGGCAGAGAGTGTGGTACCAGGCAGGAATATGGTCAGTAACGGGGTTTGTGCCAAGTGCCATGCCATTCCCTCAGTCCTTTTTTGTGTCCACCACTGGCCCAAATCATAGTTGTGTGCTGATCCCTCCTTTGTGAAAAGTCTTCCCTTTTCTCTGATTGAAGTTAGCTACTTCCTCAGTTCTCTGCAACACTCTGCATTAGCAATGGGATGAAGAAAAGCGTGGATTCTGTAAAATGGGGCTCGTAAGAATTCTTTATAGGAATGCAATGACAGATACATGAGAGATAATATATCACAGTACCTGTGATGATTCCTGCACACAGCAGAGTTTGATCAATGCTAGGTTCCCCTCCCGTAAACATCACATTGCCAAAAAATTGCCACAAAGGAGAAATGAAACTATTACATGTATACCAAATTGGCCACTTATATTATAAATACAAGAAAACAATGGATCTGTCTTTCTTGACTATATAAACTACACATTCTCTCTTTATCTGAGTTAGGGGACAAAAAGCAAGCACTCATATAACACAACTATCAGTGTCACCTGCATTATATCATCTCAGTCTAGATATGTTACCATAGATAATCCTCCATAGTTAATATTCACCAACAGAGACAATGTCCATATCATCTCCCTCTCACAAATATTTCTCAATAAATGCCTGGTCCCAAGTTTTATTTGACTTTGCACTCTGGAGAGTCATTCACACAACTGTGTCATACGCTTGACAATAAGTTTCTTTTTGTTCTTGTTTTTTGAGGCAAAGTCTCACTGTATAGTTCAAGCTGGCCAGGAGCTTGTGATCCTCTTGCCTCAGCCTCCTGAGTGCGGGAATTACAGGGTGTGCCACCACACCTGGCTTACAACAAGCTTCTGAGTCATGCCATGGTTTTCTCTATTTTCTCCAAAGCTCCTGGCATGGTGATTTGTGCACACTGATGGAATAATTGTTCTGTCACTCCTCTAAAAGAGAACAGAGAATGTCTCTGTCCTTACAGATCAGGTACAGAGTCTTCCCTCCGATTGCTGCTGGGAGAAATAACGGAGAAGCCTGACTTGCTCTCAGTAAGAGAAAAAAAAATAATTAAAAGATTTTTACCATAATCACCCTGGTTTAATATGTTTTCTAACATGGCTGCAATTTAAATGTATTAAAATACAAAGCAGCTTAATAATAGGTGCCCCCCACCCCAAATGGAAAGGAATAGTAGACTCATTAAGAAGTTTTACTGTTGGAAGAAAAGAACTAACTCTTAACGCTGCTCTCATTCCCTGAAAGCTCATAAAAAGTCACATGGGCAGAGGTTTTCCCTCCGCTTCAGACCCTCCTGTCTAACAGTCCCCGTGAAAGTCACTTCTCGCCAGACCATCTTTCAGGGCATGATGCTGCTTGGCTTTTACGTTTAACAAGTTTACATCTTCCTCTTTTGCATCGAACAGGTTCTGAATTATGTGAACAAATATACTGCATGCAGTGCTGGCTGTAATTTGGAAATAGGACACCTCTTCAAAGACAATAAGGAGAGAAGCTGGTACTAAGAGGGAGACAGCAAACCTGTATATTAATGGTATCTTTTAAAATGCAAAAGGAGAGCATTTTGTACCCATTATCATTCAGATTTCTTTAGTCTCCCTCAAACCAAGATTTGTTTGCTAGAGGCATTACAATTTAGTGAGACAAATTAGACTAAACTTTTTTATCTCGGGTGGTTTGTACATGCACTGATTGAACTAGTATTTCTTCCAAAGATTGCCTGGGAAGATAAATGAACAGGAGGAGCAATTAGGGTAAGGAAAAACTAAAGATCGGCTGACATGATTTAAGTTTACCAGTAAGGCTGTTTGTCATTTTGTCTCTATAATCTCTATCAGAATTGACTACAACAGTAAACATAAATCATTATACTAATTTATTTCACTACATTGTAGCCTGGGAAAAGAAGACTTTATTTTTTTCTCAGAGACTTCGGGGATCTAAGCAGCCACTTTGAAATTATTTCCATCTATATATTGGAAGAACAAAACAGAGAATCAAAAATGAGTATCTTGTGTTCCTCAAAAACAATATTTTCTGGTGTCAAGGCAAATTCTTTTTATTACACTATGCTAAAATAACTATGGGCTCTGCATTAAAAGAATCTCAACATTGATTGTATTTTTTTAAAAGAAGCGAAACTTTATTCCTGAGGTAGAGATGTAATCAAACGTACTGCTGAAAGTGATTTTTCACACAGTAGCTAATAAGCCTTTAAGTTTCTTCTCTCAGGAAATGTCTGTGACTGACCACAAAGAGTCAGAGTCCCATAAACTGTCTGGGAGTTCTTGATGGAGCATCAACACCCTTGGAGATTAGGACCACAGCCATGCAGCACTGGTGACTCACCAGAATGGAGCCATCACCGCGGGGCCCTAAAGGGGGACCCACTGCCAGCCTGAGAATCCAGGAGCTGCGAGGGCTGAGCATAAAGCTCAGAGCTGCACACAGGCTTGGCGTGTGCGTGATCCTGTGGTCAATTCCTAGAGCCCCAAAGAGAAAGCAGCCACTGACTTCTTAGAGGTACACACACACACGCACGCACGCACACACACTTCCAGCCAAAATAAATATTAAGATAATCGAGGCCAGGTAGTTAGTTCAGTGGTTCTGCTGCCTGCTTCACAAGCACAAGGTCCCAAGTTTTACCCCCGGTACCAAAAAAAAAGAAAAAAAGATAATCATTCGAAGCAAGAGTGTCATATTTTTTCAGACTTTGGAAGAGTCTTGAAGCTCTACATAATATGGAGAAACTTCATCCTCGCAGGAGTTGCTTTGAGCAAGAGAAACAGACAATTAAGTTTTAAAATTTTAAACTTGTTGTTCTAAGATAAATTACAATCTAGAATATAGTATAAGAGGTAAAAATAAGGGACTATAATAGGGCAAGCTACAAATAATGCAGAATCTAATGTATCTTTGTGCTGGCCATTAGCGGGAGGGTGATGAGAGTCGGTGGAGGTCTCACGTGACTGTCACCAGCAAGGGAGAAGCTAGGAAGGCTTTCAAGGACAGGTGTGGTTTCAACAGATGGCAATGCTGCCTCAAGGCAAAAGTAATAGACGTTCATAGAACAAGGGACGGGAAGTCTATGACACTCTGGGAAATGATGGGAAGCACTTACTGTACCAAAACTCAAATAATTTGTCAAAAGTCTATTGAAGATCAACCATATCAAAGAAGAAAGAAACAACAAAATGAAATGGCAGCCTACAGAATGGGAGGAAATATTTACCAACTGTACATCTGGTAAGGGACCAATGTCCAAAATACTCAAGCATTTCCTACAACCTAATATCTAAAAATCCAAATAACCCAATTTCAAAATGAACAAAGGACTTGAATGGAATTTTTCCAAAGAAGATGTGTACATGGTCAACAAGATGCTGGACATCACTGATCTTCAGGGAGATGAGCATCAGAACTGCAATGAGATATCAGTTCACATCAGCATGGCCATTATCTAAAAAAACAGGAAAAAATAACACGAGTTGGCAAGAATGTATGAAACTGAAACTCTTGTATATTGGCAGTGAAAATGTAAACAAAAATGGTCATTATGGAAAGCAATATAGAGGTTCCTCACTAAATTCAGAATAGAACTGAATATGATCTAGAAATTCCACTTGTGAACATTTATCCAAAAGAATTGAAATCAGGATCTCAAAGAAATACAGGCATTCCCACTTCCATTGCACGTTCACAGCAGCTAAGATGAGGACACAACCTATTTGTCTGCCAGTAGAAAAACGGACAGAGGCAAATGTCGACATACTTGAAAAAGCATGTAATTTGTGTTCTATTTAATTTTTTTTCATTGAGTTTATTGGTACTTTTTAAGTATGCAGTACAGTTGCATTCATCATTGGGATCTTGTACCTTTACATGACAGGTCTTGGTTCTCATTTTTTCCCTATACCCCTGCCCTCCCTTCACCCCAACCACCCTCTCCTATTTAAAATGTCTTTGTTTCCATGTTTTCATTTTCTCATATTTCTTCTTTTCCCTTGTTTCCTTTCCCCTACCCTTCCTACTTCCCCTATACCTTTTGCCCTTTTCTTCCTATTTCACATTGTCACTTATAAAATTTTGATCTTATTTACACTTCTAGTTTTTCACACCACAGAAATTATTTGGTATTTACACATGTGTCTTATTTATTTCACTTAAGTGTATGGTCTCAATATGCATCCATTTTCCTATGAATGTCTCTAGTTTCTCATTCTTATGGCTGAATTGTACTCCATTTTATAGAAAAACCACATCTTCTTTGTGCAGTCTCCAACTGATGGGCAATTGGGCAGTTTCCAAGTTTTACCTATTACAAACTGTGTGGCTATAAACATGGGTGTGTGTATATCACTGTGGTATGATTCTTTTAATTCTTTTAGAAAGATACCGAGCATAGGGATGGCTGGGTCAAATGGAACCTCCAGTCCAAGCTCTTTGAGGTATCTCCATATTGATATCCATAGTGGTTGCACCAGTCTGCACTCCCACCAACAATGAAGGGTTCCTTCCTACAAACAGCCCCGCAAACATTTGTTATTGATGGATTTCTTGATAGCAACCATTCTTTCTGGGATGAGGTGGAATCTCGGTGTTGTTTGCATCTGCATGTCTTGAAAGACCAGTGATGTTGAAAATTTTTTCATATATTTATTTGCTGCTTTTACTTCTCTGTCTGAAAAGTGTCTGTTCATTTCAGATGCCCATGTTTGAATTGGGTCTTTATATTTAGGGGGCTAATTTTTTTTTTTAGTTCTTTATATATTCTAGATAATAGTCCTTTGTATGAGGAGCAGCTGGTAAAAAATTTTGCCCACACTGTAGGTTGTCTTTTAGTTCTGTTGATGGTTTCTTTTGCAGTGCAGAAGCTTTTTAATAAGATGACATCCCAGTTGTTGATTCTTTGTGCTAGTTTCCGTGCTACTGAGGATTTGTTCATAAAGTCTTTTCCTGTGCCAGTGTCTTTGAGAGTTCTGCCTAACTTATCTTCCAGCAAGTTTAGAGTTTATGTTTTAATATTTAGATCTTTAATCCACTTGGATTTTAGTTTAGTGCATGGTGAAAGATAGGGATCTAGTTTTAAACTCTATTTAATATTTTTATCATCTTGAATTTATATCTCCCCCAAGTATTCAACATTGTTCCCAATCTTTTGGACTTTAAAATCATTAAAAACTAATGTGACAAACTGTAAGTTACACAAATGATGGATTATTGTTCCGCCATAAGAAGAGAAATACTACCATATGAGACAAGGTGGGTGAATCTCAAGAACATCGTGCTGTGTGAAATAAGCAGGCACAGAAGTGCATTACTGCACAATCCCACATATGTGAGGCACCTAAGATGCTCAGATTCACAGAAGCAGAAGATAGTGTGGTTGCCAGAGTGTGAGGAAAAGAAGTGTGGTGTTGCAGTTCAATGGGTGTAAAGTTTCAGTTACACAAGATGAATAAATTCTAAAGATATGCAGTGCAACATTGTATTTATTATTAACAGCTGTACTATACACTTGGCCTTTGTGAAGAGGTGGACCTTATGTTATTTGTTTTTACCACCAGAAGAAAAATAGACTGCAATCTATAGAATAGATTTACAATCAGGTACTACATATCAAAACCTGAGAAATGCAACTAAGATGCCACTCAAAAATAAATTTATAGTCTTAAATGCATTGACTAAAGAATATAACTTTTACAAGGAATGGTTAGTGGTGAAACTCTCATCATTTTCAAATAAATTCACTGACTCTATAGAACACTTAATAAAATGAGTTGGTAAGATTTAGAACCTGCAGAGTTCATAAAAACATAGCTAATACATACCCACACACAGAGACATATATATATATATATACACACACACACACACACACACACACAGAGACACATGTGTGTGTGTGCCTGTGTGTGTGTGTGTGTGTGTGTGTGTGTGTGTGTGTGTGTGGATTATGAACAGTATAAAAAAATAGCTTTCCTAGCCAGGAATGTGGTCCATGCCTATAATTCTAGCATAGTAGGTTTGAGCCTGCCTGGGCAACTTAGCAACTTAGTGAGATCCTTTCTCAACATAAGGGGCTAGGGATGGAGCCCAGTAGGAAGGCTCTGGGTTTGATCTCTAGGACTACAAAAAAAAGCTTTCTTATACTTCAGTAATAATCATTAGAAAAACAATGGAAAAAATAATTACATTCGCCATATGAACTGTAAACACTTGATTGCAAACCTATAATTACGTCAAAAACACCTATTAAACTTTACTGAGAACTTGATGTCAGACCTGAAATGAAACCATAAGGCATGGTCCAGGGATATTATGGTAAGCGAAATAAGATGGGCACACAAAAACAAATATCACATACTCTCTTTTATGTGCACATCTCAAAAAGCTGAACTCATAGATATAAAATAAAAATAGAGAAAGAACTGAAAGTAATAAGGATGGGCAAGAAGCAGTTAAATTATCATTATTTGCAATGGCATGATACTCTACATAGAAGACCCAAACAACTCCACCAGAAGACTTCTAAGTTTGATAACCAAATTCAGTGGCATAGCTGGATACAAGTCAGCACACAAACATCAGTAGACTTCCTGTACCTGAATAACAGTGAGTTCACTGAGAGAGAAATTACAGAAACAAACCCTTTCACAAAGCATCCCCAAAAATGAAATACCTAGGAATCAGTCTAACAAATGAAGTAAGAGACCTCTATACTGAAAGCTACAGTACTTTGAAAAAGGACATTGAAGAGGATATCAGTAAATGGAAAGATATCCCTTGTTCTTGTATAGGAAGAACCAATATAGTGAAAATAAGTTGTTTTACTTTCAAAAGTGTTATACAGATGTAGAGAAATCCCAATCAATCCCATGAGTATGTCTCACAGAATTAGGAAAAGCAATTTAAAATTCATTGCAAACTAGAAGAGACCTAGAATAGCAAAGGCAATTCTGGGCAACAAAGGTAAGGCACGGGGGTATCACAATTCCTAACCTCAAATTATACTGCAAAGCTATTGTAATAAAAACAGCATGGCACTGGCAAAGGAATAGACCTGAGAGTCAATGGAATATAAAAGATGCAGAAACAACTCCAGACACACTCAACAACCTCATCTTTGACAGAGGAGTCAAACACCTTCACTGGGAGAAAGACAGCCTCTTTAATAAATGTTTCTGGAAAAACTGGCTTTCCACATGCCAAAGATTGAAACTAGACCCATATCTCCCACCAAGCACTAATCTAAAATTGAAATGGATCAAAGATCTAAATGTTAAAATGGAAAGACTAAATCTATTGGAAGAGACAATAGGTAGAACGTTTGTGGTCACAGGAATAGGCAAAGACTTCATGGACAAAACCCAGACTGCACAAGAAATGCTACAAAGAATCAATAACTGGAACCTCATCTTATTAGAAAGCTTTTACACAGCAAGAGAAACCACCAACAGGGTGATGAGACAACCCACAGCATGGGAAAAGAAGGTTTTTACCACCTATTCATCAGATAAAGGACCCAAAAATTTAAAGACCCAATCCAAAATGGTGTCTAAAAGAAAGATGCTTCTCAGAAGAAGAAATAGAAGAGGAAGATAAATATATGAAAAAAATGTTGAACATCACTGATCATACATGAGATGCAAATTAAAACAATGATGAGATTCCATCTCACTCCAGAAAGAATGGCTGCTATCAAGAAATCAACAAATAACAAATGCCGGAGGGGCTGTGAGGAAAAAGGAACCCTGCTCCATTGTTGGTGGGAGGGCCGACTGGTGCAACCACTGTGGAAATCAGTGTGGAGATTCCTCAAACAACTAAAACTAGAGGTTCCATTTGACCCAGCTATTCCTCTTCTTGATATCTTCCCCGAAGAATTAAAAGCATCACACCACTGTGGTACATGCACACCCATGTTTTTAGTGGCACAGTTTGTAATAGCTACATCTTGGAAACAGCCCAAATGCCCATCAACCTTAAGAATGAATAAAGAAGATACATTTTTTTATACAATGGAGTGCTACTCGGCCACAAAGAAGGATGAGCTTGAGACATTTACAGCTAAATGGATGGACCGAGTGACCATACTCCTAAATGAAATGAATTGGACACACATGCTTAAATACAGGATCATTTTTCTAGTGTGAGAAATTGAAAGTGGAAATAAGGAAGAAAATGTATAATAGATACTGGGAAATGGGAAGCAAGTGTTCAAATAGAAATGGGAACAAGGGAGGAGGAAGGGAGAAAGGAAGGGACCAGAAAAGGGTGAAAATACAATGAAACACTGGAAACAAAGCTTTTGTGTGTAGGGAGGGGAGGGAGGGTGCTTGACAGGAGGGTGGAATGGGGAAAAAGAGGTGGGATGCATTATGTGCAGGTGCAAATTCCTGTGATAAGTGTTGTCATTATGTATGCCTAAATA